AAAGAAAAGCTTGTAGTTAGTTCAAGCACTGTAGGAGTGTTTCCCAGTCCAGTCTGTTGGGGCACCGAGCCTTGGCCCCAAAGTCCACCGTCAGCATTCCCTGGGGACCTCACCGCTCTGTTCCCTTGCTGTTCTGATGCACCCCCTTAGTGTTTTGCTTCAGTGTGGCGGGATCAGATCGGGTGCAATTTTTACACTGTGTTTCCGGTGTTGTCCCCTGTAGGGCCATGGGTCAGAGAGGGACGTCATGTCTCATATTGGGCCGGCCATGTGGTCCTCTCTGTGGACTGGCTGCTTTAATCTGGAACATCGTCCTTAAGGCCTGGTGGGCCAGGATGTGCTTCACTCTCTCTTCCTTCCCCTTCATCTGCTCGCGTGTGCTCCAATCAGATATGTCCCTCTCCCGGAGCTGCAGATTCAATGCTGTCCTTTGAAATTCTTCTGGGGGTAGGGGGAGGTATCCATGTAGTAGTTGGGATTGGGGCTGGCCCCTCAGACCTCTCCACTGGTTCCCTACTCCCAATAAAATGATTTTAAAAAGAAAAAATTAAATTAAAATTAAAAAATAAAGAGAATTGGTGTCAAGAGCAAAAAGTTAGAAATCTCATAAGGGATACTTTTAAGATGAATAAATTATGGGAAACTTGATAGACTGTTTTTATGATTTCATCATAGTCAAGTAAAAACTTCATCACAAAATGGTACATTTATCTGTGGATTCTTAAGGCTTGGTGGCTTAGGGAGCTATAGAATAACCAGTTGCAACAGAATGATTTGTGACAATCTTCTGTCTTAACCTGGTCTACTTTGGGACTGAGTTCTCACTCCATCTTTATTTTATTTTTTGCTCTCTGTCCACACACTCTTTTTTTCTCCATAACTCATTCAGATTCTTGCTGCCTTAGGAATATATTGATAACAACTAATATTGGAATATTACTTTACGATATTAAAGATTTAAATTGATATTTTCTGTGAACCAGTACCACAAAAATAATAAGACCTATTTATATATGCACACCATATTAAATCTTTCACCTTAATCCTCCTGGCTACTTAATGAGGTGGTCATTTTCTCCATAGTACAAAGGTGGAAGATAATGGTCAGCCAGAGAAAAGTTTTAGCTATCCTATTAAAAATTAGTAGCTTAATGCTTATTGAGCACTTGATGTTAACTACTATTTTAAGTTCTTTCCACATTACTTCATTCAATCCACATAGGTACTCACAAGGTTATTATCCCTATTTTACCAATGAAGGAAACACACACACACACACACACACACACACACACACACACACACACAGGTCTGGGCACTTTCCCCAAGATTACATAGCAAGTATGTAGAACTAGAATGTAAATCCAGAGAATTGGACCCTCCTCAGGGCATATCTTTTTGGAGGTTTTTGTTTCGTATGTTTAAGTCTTTACTCGTAGTAAGTAGAACTGCTGAGATTTTTAACCTTGAATCATCTCCAAAGCCACTCCAGAAACTGGAAAAATGTTTCCTCACACCCACAGTGTCTGTCGTACACGGAGCACCTAAGCTCAACCTTAGAGAAGAGAAAGATGAATTTGAACAAGTAAAAGCCAAGCAATGCTTAGGTTTTGCACATAGCGCTTTATTGATTCTCCTTAGAGCCAGCAGGATGAGAAGCATTCTGGTCCAGATGATTATAAAGGTCCCAACTTCTCTCTCCTCTACCTTCCACTTCTCCATGCCCTCTTGGAAAGTCCAAAAAGGAAAAACAGTCTCACTGCCACTGAGTCATTTCGGACTACTAACGACCCCTTATGCCAGAGCAGCACTGTCCCTGTGGGTTCCTAACACTAACTCTTTACAGTAGAAAGCCTCGCCTTCTGAGGAGCGGTTGTGGTCTATTTAGTCATTCACCAAAAACTTATCACTTGAAGATTGATTCCATATACTATGTACTGGAAACTCCTGCATGTGTTAGGGAGATACATCTTTCCCTGCCTCCAATCTGGAGGGCTACATCTGTCAGGCCCGTGTGGTGCAGTGGGTGATCTAATCCCTGAGCACCAGTTAGACAGCTGCAGGTCAAGACTAGATCAAGCCTACTGTCTCTCAGACTTGGAAGAGGTGGTAGAAGCTAAGTGAAAAAGTCGATCCCAATGTGGCTTTTGGTTCTCTCCTTCCTACTTTGTGCTTCAGGAGTTCAGCCAGAAATGCGAATGGTTAGGTTTTCTTGTAATAGGGCCCTGGAAAGATCATCAGAATGTTTTCAGGACTTGTCGTGTTTGACGGGCTCACAAACAGACGCGACCCCTCTGCCTTTAGGGGAGTGTGTCTTTTACCCAGCATCCCAAAAGTAAGTCTCTCATTTTAATAGCTGAGGGGCCAGGGGAAAGGAGATACTGGGGATTCAGAGTATTTGAGGGTAGATCGGGGTTTTCTTTAGGCCAACTAAAGTTTGATCACTTTACTGTGACTAAAAACAAAATCCATCTACTTTGAACACTTCACAGGAATTAATGACAGTTAAAAAGCCTCCCTCTGGAGACGTCAGACAGTGTAAGACATGAAAAGATAATATTAATTCATAAATTATCAAGGGTTCATGAGGGAGGGGAGGGAGAGGAAAAAATTAGAAGCAGACACCAAGGGCTCAAGTAGAAAGAAAATGTTTTGAAAATGATGGCATCAAATGTACAAATGTGCTTGACACAATGGATGGATGGATGGGTTATAATAAGAGCCCCCAGCAAAATAATTTTTAAAAGAAAAAGAAAAACAAGTTTCCCTATCAGTTTTGAGTCTCTCCATCCATTTGCATTCCCTTGGTCACTGGAGATAATATGCTAGGGTAGATGACTTCCGCTTTGTTAAATGTCCCTAGTTTTTCCACTGAGACCCTCTCAGAGGTGTAGCCTTCTCGTGGTGGGAACTGTGAGAGCCAAATTCTCTAAGGAGTAAGGAAATGAAGAGATTCTGTACTTTTTCTGTAATGGCCCTGTGTCTAATTTTTCTTTTTTTATTCCTTGTAGGACTATTGAGACCTGGAAGCTCCCTCCCCTCCCCCCTCCCCCTTTTGCCGCTTTGTGGCATCCCCCTCCCTCTCCCCTTTCCCTCTCTAATAACCTGGCCATGACTAGCAGAAGCACAGCCAGGCCCAATGGGCAGCCCCAGGCCAGCAAAATATGCCAGTTCAAATTGGTCCTGCTGGGCGAATCTGCAGTGGGCAAGTCTAGCCTGGTGTTACGTTTTGTCAAAGGGCAGTTCCACGAGTACCAGGAGAGTACCATTGGAGGTGAGTCCTGGAAAGAAGGGGTTCAGTGCTCAGCAAGGCTTCTGAAGGGAAACCTAGGGACCTGATTGTTGAGCTGGCCCTGAGTCCCACTCTCTTCCCCCAGGAATGGAAACTGATTTACAAAGTTGCTACAGTGACAGAAACAGGTGTGTGTGCATACACACACAAATATACATACAACATATATGTGAGTGTGTTTGTTATACGAGGGGTACCCCCCAAAAATAAAAAATAAAAAAAAGCTTGGCTTGGTGGAGCTTTCGTAGTAGGACTTTTTCCTGGTAGGCGAGCATCAGGCAACACACTCCGAGTTAGTGCACCCAGTGGCATTGCCTGGGAAGGTTCTCTCTGGTCACAGTGAGTTTTTTCATAAAACGAGTTGCTTGAACCTTGTTTTTTGTGATGACCGATTTAAAAGAACAGTGTGCGGCTGTGAAATTTTGTTTCCTGCTTGGGAAAACTGCCACAAAAACTGTTGTGATGTTGAACATAGCTTACAAGGATAGCACTATGGGAAAAACTCAAGTGTACAAGTGGTTTTCTCATTTCGAAAAGGTGAAATGTTGATTGATGACAAACCTCATTCTGGACACCGTCAATTTCCCGAACAGATGAAAATAAATGTTGACAAAATTCATGCACTTGTGCTCAAAGACCAATGATGGACCGTTGAAGAGATGGGGAAGTTATCTGAACTATCTTGGAGCTCGGTTTATTGAATTTAACAGAAGATGTGGGAATGAGAAGGGTCGCTGTGAAATTTGTGCCTCAGGTTCTGAGTGAACAGGAAAACAAGCATTGAGTGGAAACATGCCCTGCTTTGAAGCGACCCAGACTTTTCCCCCCGACGTCTTTACTGATGTTGAGAGACATGGTGCTATTCTTACAAATGAAAGCAAACATTGATGTAAGGGAGATAGTGTATTTGGAGTTCATTCCACCAGGTCAGCCTGTTAATCAAACTTTCCATTTTGAGGTTCTGAAAAGATTGCGTGACAGTGTGTGACCAAAAACAGGCCTGGTTTGTGGCAGACTGGGGACTGGTTTTGCCACCACAACAATGCACCACTCATGCAGCCATCTCAGTATGCCAGTTTTTGGCAAAAAGCAGCATGCCTCTCTTGCCCCATGCACCTTACTCACTTGACCTCACTCTGTGCAACTTCTTTTTGTTTCTGTGAATGAAGAGGGACATGGAAGAACAGTGATTTGACGGCTGAAAGAGGTGAAGAAAAAAACGAGGGCGGTACTGTCAGTCTTCCAAAGAGATACGTTTAAAATGTTTCCAAGAATGGAATCACAGGCTTGACAAATGTACAAGTGTAATGGAGGGTACTTTGAAGGTGGTAAGGTTGTTTTCTTAAAAAATTTAAATACTTAGCTGGAAAAAAATTCCGGTTTTTAGTATATATATATTCCTCTTGCTTCTTAGAAAAAAGAGAAGTTAAGTTTTGCTTTCGAACAACAAGAAAAGCACTTTTTATCTCCGTCTGTCTTCCTCCTCCTATTTGGTCATCTCAGCCCCAGGGAAGTTCAGTTGAGCAGGGTTGGTGTAAAACTGAGTCAAAGACAAACATCAGTACCACCTGGGGAGCATTTCTAAAAGATGCATGCTGGGTCCCTAGCCTAGTTGAATGGCTTAGAGTGGAGGGGTAGGCTGTTAGGTTGTGGCTGCAGCAGCACAAGTAGGCAGGCGTGCATGCGTGTGCGTGCGTGTAAATGTTTCTAGGGTGTTCCCAATGCATATCTCTGGTAAAATAGAAGCTGGGACTAAATAGAAAATATAAATGACATCTGCCTTTCTTACTCTTCCTGACTTCTCTCTGCCACTACCCCCAAATTGCTACTTCAATAAAGACTCTTTTCTTACATGATAGGCTAATTCAATAAAGGCTCCTCCCATGATACTCCTACCCCTTCCCTCCCAGGCCCCCTTTTGACTAGTCACATTTTAATGTGTTCCTGGGCCAGCAGAAGATAATTTAAAAAAGGAGCAACCACTTCCTTTACGCTTTAATATTTTCTAATTATTTATTGATGTCACTTTCTTCTGAAATTCAAAGCTCTGCCATTCTTCAGTCTGGCTGGAAGTGCCAGTTCTCTCTGTCCCTCCCTCATAGTTTATGATGTGACCCCAATCTTTGGCCAGACATTTGAGGCAGGAAGGACTTGGCTAAGGGTGGTCCTAATCTGGCTCCAGGACCAATATATAAGGAGGAGCATGCTAAGTCTGTTCCTGTATTTCAGTGGCTTGAGTGGTGACTGTCTCATGCTCCCACTTACAAACTGCTTTCCCTCCATCCTCTCATCCACAGCCGCCTTCCTCACCCAGTCCGTTTGTCTAGATGACACAACAGTCAAGTTTGAAATCTGGGACACGGCCGGGCAGGAGCGATACCATAGCTTGGCCCCCATGTACTATAGGGGTGCCCAAGCTGCAATTGTGGTTTATGACATAACTAATCAGGTAAGTAGGCTGAGTCCTTCCCCTTGTAGGAATTAAATTTGTTGTTGGGGTAGGGAGAAAACAAGATTTTTGACATGGCAAAATAAGAGTACAAATTGTGCTTCTAAGCGCTGAGAAAAGAGAGTTTGTAAATGATCACAGACAGGTGGTTTCAGAGACGGAAGGACTCCTGGAAGAGATGAGTGCTTAGTGGGTTTTGACGGTGGATGTGGATTGGTGGTCATTTCAGCCCCACCTTGCCCTTCCTCGTGTTTTCCTAGGAAACCTTTGCCCGCGCAAAGACATGGGTGAAAGAATTACAACGACAAGCCAGCCCTAGCATCGTTATTGCCCTGGCAGGAAACAAAGCTGACCTGGCCAACAAACGCATGGTGGAGTATGAAGTAAGATAGCCCACAGAGCCCCCTTGGTAACACACTCCCTTTGAGCCTAGGACCTCTTCCTTCCAAACTGCCCTCTCCGAAAGCCTCACCTGAGACATTCTCATTCCCCAGCTCAAAACCAACCTAAATACAACCACATTGTGACCCTAATGACAGCTGGGAGATTTTAGAGAAGTAAGAAGAAAATTCCAGAGCACTTGGGGTTATTAAAGTGCCGTTTATAGGGGCATCCATTTGAAAGAGGAAGGAAGAAAAATTGAGTTTGAGGTCAGGGACTATTCAAAGGTCAGAACCCAATAACCCCCAGCTAATTTACACTCTCCCATCCATAAATTAGATTACTGGCATCTGTGTATGCGACTTGGGAGTGGTGAATGGATCTGGCTTCTTGCAAGAGTCACCAAACTAGGGCACAGGGCCATCTGGTTCAGAAGGGTGATGAAGGGGAAGAACCTAGGGGCTCACGTGCTCCTAGGGCAGTTCTTGTTCTCCCCTACATGCCGAGTACCAGTTCACCTTGCTCCTTACAGGAGGCCCAGGCGTATGCAGATGACAACAGCTTATTGTTCATGGAGACTTCAGCCAAGACAGCTATGAACGTGAACGATCTCTTCCTGGCAATAGGTAAGGTCAGCAGCCAGAGGTCCTCTGCCTTTTTTCCTGCTTCTAGGCAGGATCATAGATAATGCAAGTCGTGGATAGGTGGGAGTGTTTCCGCGTGTAAAAACGTCTGTCTTTTGGCTGCAGTTTCAGCCTCCTAGTCTTGTTATTTGCAAATTTGAGTTGTGAGCCCCTTCTCCCTTCAGAACATTCTTTCAGCCCCTCAGATTTCCCGTCCCCTCATCCAGTAGCGTTTTGTCTTTTGGAGAGAGAATGAGTAAATGTGTCATACTGTGTTTCCTTCTCTTTTTATCCCTAGCTAAGAAGTTGCCAAAGAGTGAACCCCAGAATCTAGGGGGTGCAGCAGGCCGAAGCCGAGGTGTGGATCTCCATGAGCAGTCCCAGCAGAACAAAAGCCAGTGTTGTAGCAACTGAGGGGGTGGCTAGCAGCAAAACAAGTACGGAGCTAGCACGAGAGCTAAGAAATCACCTCCATCCCTGCCCCCAGCACACAGCCCCTTCAGTAACAGCACACTGAGCCCTGGCTCCCAAGGGCTGCCTCCTGACAGCTCCGTCTTGGCACTTTTTAATGCTTCAGCAACCAACACCAGGCAGCTGTTGCCACTGGCCCCCTACCCCCTACTCGGGGGCTTGGAGTTCAGATCCCCCTGGGACTTATCTTCCAAAACAAACTCTTCACTTTGTATTATAGGTGCAAGACAGTGACCTCCTCTTTCCTCCTCTTCCCCAGTGTTCTGTATTTTTCCCCCCCCAGAAAACACCACTTTCATCTCCTGCCCTTTCCCCTTCTGCTTTTGGTCAATCTCTGTTCTTGATCCCCCTTTTCTCCTTCCCAGGATGGAGAGGAGGGAGATTTCCAGTTCAGTCACATTAAGGGCCCTGGGGGAGAGGAAGGCTCATAGCAAGAAGGAAACTTTTTTTTTTTTTTTTGCTTTTATTCGTTTGGAGTTTATCATATTTGAAAACACTGCAGTACCCGTGAGTTGGCCTTGTGGAGGGTGTTTCCAGCAAGAGAGGAGACTGGGCAGGCACGCTCTCTGATCCCAGGCAGGAGTTGGGCTGAGTTAGCTAACTGGCTGAAGTCGGAGAGCATGCAGATGCAACGTCTCTGGTGGCTCTGAACTCTTCCGAGGCCCGTTTCCCTTCATTCCCTTCACCCAGGCTCTTGGGTAGCTTCTGCCCCAGAGAGGGGCTCGAACCCCCGAGTCCTCCAAAGAACGTTCTCTGGTTGCCTGCATCGTTAGCTCTTTTGTGGTCTGATTGGAGGAGGGACCAGTTTGTGATAGCCATCCTCTGATTATACAGATGCATTTTTCCCCCCTCTGGCTTTTAAATGGGCCCTAGTCATCATACCCATTGCAGTTTGCACTTTAATTGATGGTATTTCAGTTGGGATACTTGTTTTATGGGGGGGTTGATCGATTTACCACCTTCCCACTTTACTTTTTAATGAAATGAAATCCAAGTGTGTAATGTTTTGAGAGGCTGTAAAGAACGATATTCATGCTCAGTCTTCACTGCTAGCGTTCTCCAACTCTGATCCTTAACCTGTGTTCTAGCCAACCTAGCTCGTAATGGGAGTTTGCCTTTCCTGGAGAATTACCTGAGCAAGTCAGGCGCAGTCTCAGCATATTCCTCATAACATAGGCCAATGGAGGAGGGGGAGGCAGGGCCAGGTAAGAGGGAGGGGCTTTCTCTTTTTCCAGGGTTCACATTCAATTTGATATGCATTACCATGTCTTTTCTACTTCCCTGTAAATAGGTGTGGTCTTCGTTCCCACTGTACAGTCTGTTCTGTCTCCCAATTCCCCTCAGCCCTATTTTCTCCTTCGCTCATGTCTTCAGTTTGGTTCTTCCAGCCCTACCCCTATGCATCCTTGTACCACAGAGGCCTACTTGTGTGGCCCCTTTGTATCACACCTGTTTCTGTGGACAGGGAATAACTAGCACTGAAAGGTACCTCACACCTGTCTCCTTTCTAGGTCTCTTCATCTCTCATCAGGTGTTTTAAGGATATTTGGGGGAAGCCAGCAAGGCAAGAGAGAACTCTAGAGCCCTTGTTTTTCTGGCCTAGAGTTTTTTGGGAAAGATTGGAGAAGAAAGATAGGAATGCCATAGTGACCTAGGATTGGAACCTCTGTTCTTTTGGCTGGCATACTGCCTTCTGTCCCAAAGCAGCTGAGAATCCCATGAAGTTGAGTTTGGAGGACCCAACTTAGGTTCTTATACTTAGGCCACAATTCCCTTCCTTTTCCAGGGGCAGCCTTAGTTCCCATGGCCCTGAAACACATTTTCCTCTTTTGTCCCCAGCACCCACTAGTTCCCCAAAGCACTCGGTGCATCCTTTTTATAAGTCGAGGAACTGGGATGGCTCTTGAGTTTCTTAGAAGTGAAGTTCATTCTCCGTGCAGCTTTCTCCATGGAACTGAAGGGAAGATGCTTCATTGCCTTGGGGCTGGGGAACCATTTCCCTGGCTTCGTCTCCATCTCCTCTCTGTCCCCACTACCGACTACCGTTAGGAACAGGATTGGCCTTAGCTTCTGGGCCTCCCTGCTGCCTTCCCTTTAACTTTACAAGGTCTTCTGCTTTCCTTTGAGCTCTGCTGGGCTTGGGGATCTTATATTTTTAATTCCCAGCTCTCCCATTTTTCCGATCTGTTGGGTGTTTTTGTTTTTAAAGTGGGGTCTTTCTTTTCTTTACTTTTTTTCTTTTGCTTCTAAGAAAGCATTTGCCCTGCCCCCCCCCTCTCTCTCCCAACATAACAATCGTGGTAACAGAATGCAACTGCTGATTTACCGATGTATTTAATGTAAGTAAAAAAGGAGAAAAAAAGTGTACCGAAGTGTTGCTTCATTTTTTTCCCCCTCCATCTTGATACCTCCTCCTGTTTCTATTAATCTTTACTTCATAGTGAAAGAATCTAATTTGGAAAATAGCTCTTTTATTTGCTGTGCAATCCTCCCTATTGAAAGCCCACTTGAGCTCATCCAAAACATTTATGTGTATTTTTCTAGGGAACGAGTCTATGACCTTGTTAAATCACTGAATTAAGTCTTAACATGTCGTTTCCACCCCAACAGAAAAATGTCCCCTAGGTCTGCTCTTGTCTCCTACTGTATTGAAGTCCTTCTGCTCATCACAGTCTTAGTGGGAGAAGAAAAAACATGAAACAGAGAAAAGATGGACATAGACGCAGAGGAATTTTTTTTTTTTTTTAATTCTAAATCCCCAAGAATCTTCAGGAAAATAGGGAAGGGGACTGTGCTAGACAGACCTGGCATTCCAGGCCTGTTGCTGCCAACTTAACAGCCATGGCCTTGATCAAGTTGCATAGCTACTGTCTGCCTCAGCGGCTACAAAAGACAGAAAGGCTACAATTTAAAGGCTAATTCTATAAAGAACAGGACACATTGTAGATAACACTAGGGAGAGGGCTCATGCTGTGCCTTTTTAAGACTGAAACGATAAAAAGACAAATGAGTAAACCATGCCATGTTCCATTTCCAAAACCTTTCCAGCCAAAGTAAACTACCTTCAATTCCCTAATGGATTGCTGGTCAGAGTTCTAGCTCATTGTAAAAGAACGGAAAAACCAAGCCTGTTTGCACATTTTGCAGTTTCTCACCTGTCATGACAACGCATCTGAAGCCCTGGTTTGAATAGATGACCTTTCAGTTAGCAGCTGAGTACTTTACCACCTCACCTCCAGGGCACCTTTGCTGTGCCACCAAAACCAAATCCATTGCCCCTGAGTTGGTCCTAACCCAAAGACCAAGGGACAGGGGAAACTACCCCGCAGGGTTTCCAGTGCTGTCCGTCTTTACAGAAACCCAGGCCCATAGCCCCCCTCAGAGTGACTGGTAGGTTCGAATTACAGAACTGAGGTAGCAGCCCACCAAAGTCCCTTAGGAATGAGCAGATATGGGAAATGAGCTTCCAAATTTTAAGGTGAGGATTTTTACTTACGGTTGTAGTTTGACCTGTGTGTCGCTAGAGGGCACGGTGGGCACGTTTGCCCTAGTTTCCTCCTTACTGCCAGCCAAAGGCAGTAAATTATGGACCTACGCCAAGAAATCAAAAGGGTAATTGCAAATATATCCTACTCTTGTCCTTCACACCGAAACTATAAAAGATGTGGGAACTCTGAGGGTTTAAAATGGCACTGTTGTTCAAAGACGATGCTTTTTGTATTTGGGGGTATTTTTTGCTTTATGAAGCCAAGTTTAAAAGACGGCTATTGGGCACTGTTGATTCCAATCCTGGAGATGGATTTCAGTTAATCCATGGGAGCTTAACGTTTTAGACCCTAGGATTTCATTTCTGCCCTCATCCTGGATATAAGAATTGAGCGCCGAGCCTAGTTTTTTCCTGAGACAAACGGCTACAGCAACTGTCACACGTCCAAACTGGGCCGAGGCGGCGGCGCTCAGCGCGCAGAAAGCCAGCTCGTGGCCCAGGCCTCGCCCCGTCGGCTCCCAGTGCAGGGACGGGCTGGGACTCCCGCCTCTCCTCTGGGGAGGCTGTTACCTCCCACTCCGGACATCGGTGGGGTCCCACTCCTCGCCCGCCCCGGCTGTCCGACTGGAATGGTAAGGAGAGCCCGGCCAGCCCGGGCGCGTGCCCCGGAGGGCCGCCGGGCCGGCGTCCCGGAGGCGGGCTGGCATCGGACGGCGCCAATGGCTGAGGGCGCGCCGCAGCGCCGAGCTGTCAGTCCTGGAGTCCTGCGCGCGTCACGACGCTGGCCCCGCCCCCCGCGAGCGACCGCCCCGCGCCTGGGGGCGAGAACAGTCTGCGCGCGGACGCCGAGCCTGGTAAGAGCCCTGGGACCGACCGGAGGAAGGGTTGCTTGGTAATCGGGGCAGCGGCAGTGGGCTCCATCAGTGGTAGCACCCAGGGGTGCTCCGATCTCTAAAGACAATAAATTGCCAGTACCTACCTCCTCTACCGCTGCTGCTGGTGGTCGGGGACAGGAGGGGGGCGTGGGGGATGGCCGGCCGCGGTGTTGCTACAAGACCCTTGTGTGACAGCTAGTGGGCAGGGGCGTGGGGACGAGTGTTTGTACTCTGATGCTGACCCAAGAGGGTGGCTCCTTTGTTTTGCAACAAAAGGTTACTCTCCGGCGGGCACTCTGTTGACTGAGTTCACCTGGCGGGTCAGCCTTCCCGGCACAGCTCCAGTTACTTTGAACTGTTGAGGTTGGGGGCTGATGAGAGCCCCGTGGTTCCAGGGTGAAGGGTGGGCTTGGCTCCCACTTGCATCTCTTCAGCAGTTCCCGTCGCATCCCATGCTGTCTTCCCCACCCCCAATCGGTTCACAGCATCTTGCTGAGGTTAACCATTAGGACACTCCCCACCCCTCCCCACTTTGGCATTGGCCTTCTGGGTTCAGTGATCTGCTATGGCTCTGAATCAGAAATTGCCTTCATCCTACCCCAGCCCATCCCCTGCCACCCTGGCCATTAACCCCAGTTTGCTGAGCTCACTAGCATGGCATCTGCAGCGGAGGGTGGAGACCTTGGATTGTGACCCACTTCCCAGCTAGGGACTCTTTAATTTTTTTCATTGGGGTGGTGGGGGCGGCTGAAAAACCTTCAAAGGCAATTGTTGTAATCCTTGTTCAGTCTTAACTCATTAGGTCTATCTCACGCTTCTCTTGTCAGAGTTGACGGTTCAGAGAGTTTTCAGAGGCTAGTGGTGCCCATGTCACAAACCCAAAGTAGCCTGGACCCTTTTCCACCACTTTTGGGTACCTATTTATGTCAAAGTACCCCCTCGGTTGTCCTCTTCTGACTTCAGAAATAATGAACTGACA